CAATGCCATCACTCTGCTAAACAACTTATTCCCACAACACTGTCAAACTATTTACTAAGTCTGCACTACTATTACTATTAACCTTCTCGTCACTCCTTATCACCCATCCCCTCCCACTTGTGACTGTATGACTGCAACTTTATTGCTTGCACCCTAATGCTTTTTATTGACTGTTTTCTGGTATGATTTGATTGCTTATTGTACCCTATGACTATCATTAAGTGTTGTATGTTATGATTCTTGACTCTTGACCAATGTATCTTTTCTTTTATGTACAGTGAAAGCATTCCCACCAAGACGAATTCTCTGTGTGTCCAATCACACTTGGCCAAGAAAGAATTCTATTCTATTCTATTCTATTCTATTCTATTCTATTCTATTCTAATTCTAATTCTAATTCTAATTCTATTCTATTCTATTCTAGATAATCTTCTCATCCCTCCTTATCACCCATCCCCTCCAACTTGGGATTGTATGTCTGTAACTTTGTCGCTTGTATCCTCACGATTTATATTGACTGTTTCCTAGTATGATTTGATTGTTTATTGTACCCTATGACTATCATTAAGTGTTGTATCTTATGATTCTTGACTCTTGACCAATGTATTTTTTTTTATGTACACTGAGAGCATTTGCCCCAAGATAAATTCCTTGTGTGTCCAATCACACTTGGCTAATAAAGAATTCTATTCTATTTTCTATTCTATTCTATTTTCTATTCTAGATAGATAGATAGATAGATAGATAGATAGATAGATAGATAGATAGATAGATCTACCATCACTCCTTATCACCCATCCCCTCCCACTTGTGACTGTATGCCTGTAACTTTGTCGCTTGTGTACTTATGATTTATATGGACTGTTTCCTAGTAGGATTGGATTGCTTATTGTATCCTATGGCTATTATTAAGTGTTGCACCTTATGATTCTTGACCAATGTATCTTTTCTTTTATATACCGAGAGCATTTACACCAAGACAAATTCCTTGTGTGTCCAATCACACTTGGTCAATTAAAAAAAAAAAGTATTCTATTCTATTCTTAACAACCATGGCAAGAAAAGGCGTAAAGTGGGGCAACATTCGCTTCTCAAAGTTCGCACTTCGCCATAGAAATGTTGGGCTTAACTGCACTCATTAAGTGGAGGACAGCCTGCTGAATAAAAACTGTTGAAAATGGGTCGTCAGGAGGCAGGAATCCACAGAAATTACATTTAAGATGAGAAATATCACTTCCTCTTCTGGACATAACCCCATCTCCTGGTTTACGATGATGGGAAGACAGCAGGCTTCTCTGCTGGGGGTCTCCTTACACAGAATCTTCCACCTACAGGTAGTCCTTGACTTACAACCACAATGGAATTTCCATTGGTTAAGCAAGGCAGTTATTAAGTAAGCCATGTCCTATTTTACGGCCTTCCCCCTCAGAGGTGGTATTCAGCCGGTTCGGAGCAGTTCTGGAGAACCGGCAGCGGAAATTTTGAGTAGTTCGGAGAACCGGCAAATTCTACCTCTGACTGGCCCCGCCCCCACCTATTCTCTGCCTCCCATTGAGTCCCAGATGATCACCTGGGTCTCCTTTGGTTGCCCTGCACAGGAGAACGGAGCTGGCCTCTTTTTAAAAAGCACCTTTGGAGACCAATTCATGGTGGGGGTTTTGTCCACCATTCCACCATGCTCCTTCCGACTTCCATCCTGCTCGTCCTTATCCAGCCTTCTGCGTAAGCTGCACCATGACTCACGTCCTCAGTTTCCCACAGCCCCGAGCTGGAAAGCGCCAGATCCCTGAGTCACTCGCAGTTCCCAGTTTGCAAGGAGAAACGCACCATCGTCTCCATAGGACATCGGTGAGCTAAAAACCCCAGGCAGCCACAAGCTCACGCAGGATCCTCCTTCGGGGAGGGTGGGGAGAGAGGATGAAAAGTCCATAGAGGAACAGAAAAAGGACTCCAAGACCCAGCGGCCCCCGCTGCTTCCCCTCTTTTCTAAACACCAGGATTTGCAAGAGGGCCTCCGTGTAAGGGACTCTGTAATCCAGCCCGCCCGCCCTCTTCTCCCACCCATGGAGGCAGAGAAATGGTTTCAGCCAGCGAGATGATGACCACATATTTGGAACACCCAAGAAATAAACAGATCTTGGGTTTGCTTGCATCCTCATCCGGTTTCCTGAAGGCTCAAAGCTTTGGAACTGACCACCGCTGGGGTGGAGTTGAAAAAGTCGAGAATGTTGATAGAAGAGGATGTTTGTAGCTGAGGGTTAAACTGTAAGGTCTTCGGTGCTCTGCGAGCCTGGTGCTTTTCTTGCAGACGTTTTCACTGCCCAACTAGGTAGCATCATCAGTGCTAGCAGGGAGTGGGGTTTCCAGGGAGGAGGAGGAGGAGGAGGAGGAGGAGGA